ACAAGCAGCGCGTTAAATGACTCATGACACGTCCATATCACGCACATATAAAGTAACATAAGCTCACTGTACACATAATAAAATATAAGAGTTTTTAGGAAGGAAAAGAGCAGATTTTACTCTGATCTGTAAGATTTTAACTGAAGGACTAAACCAGGTGATGAGGGGTTGTATCTTTTATATCTCTCTTCATCCAGAATCGCTGATGCCGGAACAAAACCTGTACCTCCAAAATGGTAACTTTACAGGAGAAGGAAAAAACATACTTTACTTATAATGTATGTCAATGAAACCAGATTTTTTTCCAAGTCATTTTGGGCTGTTTCTTTTGGTCCATTCATCATAAAATGTATGTACAATGTAAAGGGTAACAGGCATCTTCAAATGATGTCAAAAACTGAAAAATGACAATAATGGAGATGCAAGGTTTTGTTCCAACAGCAGCGATGAAATATTGCACGTTGTATAGAAACAAACCGCACATTGTTTTCAGTGATAGTATTATTGCACAGTGTAACAGGAAACGTAAACCTGACACTGGTGAATAGTGATAAAATGCTCAAGTGATGAGAACAACAGTCATAACTGTATTACGATAACAATTTAAACACAGATTTAATGCTCAAGACTGGAGCAACAACATACTTGCTATAAAAAACGTTTCACATCATATTAAACAATTATATGATTTAGGACCATAATAAACAATTTGCGATTTAGAATCAAATCTAGACTGCTTACTGAACAAGGTTATAAACACGCGTACACTGTGTTGCATACACAGAAGTTGGATATTAAAAATGACAGTAATTTTTAAGATTAATTTTAGCTGAAATGTCAGCAGATTTTACACAGTCAGGGCAGCATTTAAAACCCTCAAAATTACACTCACATTATCTCTGATCTGATTCAGATCAAACTTATTCTGGTGACTTATCTTGTATACATATAGTTATCTTATATAAAGCATGTCTCTATGTTCAAGAGGAGGATATATATATATATATATATATATATATATATACATATATATATATTGTTCAGGTAAATAATCAGGACAAATTTAATCAAGTCTTATTAAATCATATTTATGATCAAGAAAAACAGTAAATGGGTCAAATAAGATAAGAAAACAACCAGAGTTAAAATGACTAATGAAACATCCATAGTATCACTCTCACTGTACACATACTAAAATATAAGAGGTTTTAAGGAGGAAAACAGTAGATTGTATTGTAACCTGTAAGACCCGAACAGCAGGACTTTAACCATTTTTACATCTCTCCTGTTTATTTACATACATTTACTAAAACACACCGCACAATATTGATTCAAGAATTCAGACTTTCAGCAGGACAGACAAAGAGCCTGAACAACCCAGCAGTCGGTACGAATCTTCACCATCCTTATATACACGTCTGGCTTTACTGAACGGCGGCTGTATATCTCGCTCGTCAGACGCCGAATGTAACTGTGCCACAGATTCGCGCCGCTGATTCTGCTCAGCTACTTCCGCTGAAGAGCGACCGCCCACTTTAACTTTAATGCGCCGAGTTTCCCAAAAGTGTCAACAAATCCATTCCTCGATGGAGGAGCGAGCCTCACACAGAACACTCTCTCTACCATTTTAGGTGATTTGAACACTACGATAAAGGAAACTGAGCTCTACTTTAGTCCTTTACTCACCACCTGAAATAAAAACCCCGTCATAAAGAATCTTTCAAGGAAAAGGCCAAAAAGGAGACTTTGGTGCTACAATTATTAATGTGTCTCATTATTTTTAAGAGAAGGGGGCATTTATTTTTGAGAATATCCGTTTTCTGTGCTGAGACTCTGTGTTTGGAATTCGCTGTATATCAGAAGATGGAGGACAGTGAGAGTTTTCTCGTGATTTCTGTTAATCAATTATTTTTTTATTTTCATAAAAAGCAGAAAATGCAAACAATGTCTTAGATTCAACTTTTGGAGGTGAAAAATATTCCTGCAGGTTTCACTGAAAACTGAAAGAAAGTCTTCTGAAAAGATTGGAAGCTTAATGAAGGCAAAATGTAATATTATATTTAGTTGTTGGGGATTCTGTGTAATTTTCTGTCAAATATGTTTTCTGATGCTGAAAAAACATTATCTTGTACTTAACAGCCACTTTGTTTGGAAATTAAATAAATGAAGGGTGGTCTCTGACTTTTGCTCAGTACCGTATATTGATCATGGCAAAACCTACCAGTCCTTTATGCCTTTTGACAAGAATAATTTTTGCCTCTGGTTATAGTTTAAACATCAAATAAATCATGCTTATTGAGTATGCGCTGTACTCTCAGGTAAAACTACTGTTATGTACCTAAAGGAAGTGTAAAACGTACTGGCTAAAAGCTGCAACATTAAAGGATGATGTTTTACAAGCAGTATTAATGGGGAGCCTGTTTTTGGCCATGAACACCAAAAGTGGGAAAATGTCTCAAACACAGTCGGAGGATTAATATTTTCATAACAAGGGTGGGCTTCTTCTGTGACTATGCTCTTACGCCTTTCATTCCGTCCTGTACGTTTTTCTACTCTCTCCGTCCTTTATGCTCTTTCTTCTGTGTGCCCTCTGCCTTTTCCCTGACTGATCTCATTTAGAGGGATTTTGCTGAATTAGGACTTTAAGCAACATCATTTCACACAATAATTAATAAAAAGCTTGACATTACATGTGCACTACTGAGGAGTGAATCAAAGCAGTTCAGTAACATTAAGATTAATAACGGATTGATTTATCAGAACTGCAGTGTCTGTAAAGAATGTGTACGTTAATAACCTGGTTGCCTTAAAACCATATAAAATAACTTTAAAAAACAATAATAAATAATAATTATCAGAGTGTAAAACAAATTACTGTTATGCTAACTTACTATTAGAAGTACCATTTTACAGTGTTTGCTGCTGTAATTCGCTTTATAATTAGAATTTCCAATTCAATGTGCTAAAATGCGGAGTCAAAACAACAGACTGTCTACACTGTGAAGTACATTTCTATACAGAATTAGGCTTGAATAGATTGAAGTAAATTGGGCGACTTTTTGACAAATCCCTCTTAAACTACTGCATGACTTTCAGGCGCGTTTTGAATCACTGAGACTGCTCTCCTGTTTCATTCTAAGTTGAAAATATATTAACTTATAAATTAAATATACTGGCTATTTAAGTGTCAGACATTCGCCTCCAACACAGCGCCAGTGTAATCAGGTTAAATGGGCCACGTGCTGAGTTAAAATGAGCCAGCAAAAAAAAAAAAATCGTTTTCAACAGTCAGTTCATAAGGTGGCCATTTTAGCAGAAATGAGCTCATTTTATCCACCATGTTAAACAGAAATTGACCCCCCAACTTTTTTCAAAGCTCTGAAATGAATAAAACGCGCTGATCAATTAACTGCAGAATTTATCAAACTAATGTGTTTATGAGAGCAGACTTACAGCAAAGCACGCAAATGAGAGCTTAAGGAATCCTGAAAAAGTTCTCCGACATCTTTCTGGAGCGCGGCTGGAGGACGAAGGTGGTTTTTATCGGATATTCAGCTTTTTCTCTCTTTAATTTCCACTTGAAAGCAGAACAGCTCAAAACCTGGGAGAAACGGGCTGCTCTGAAAAGCACAGCGCGTGTCGGCGGCCTGAGAGCAAAATAAGGCATAAGCTGGATGAACTGAGCCGAGTCGAGCTGCAGGCAACGCGCCAATTTCATTCAGGCCAATGAAAGGAAACGCTGAATGTCAACTACTTCCCAAGCAAGATATTCGAAGGCAGTATCACATTTAACAAACACATTCTTGCAATTTTGCGTTTTGTTTGTTAGCTTGTGTTTCTTTAGTGGGCATATAAAGTTAAATATTGTAAATGAGGCTATTTCATTGTGTTTTTAATACCTAAAGGGGTGATTCACCGCTGTTCTGGCCAACAGAGTTCAAATATTTAGGCTCCCTTATGACGAATCGTGCAAAAATGGTTCAAACTGCCCCACCACAGTCTGAGAAATTTACATACTTATTGTCACTGAGGGCTCTACCAGCCGTAAAGCAGTGCGGCAAACAGCTAAAAGAAAGCGAAAACGAGTAGTGCCTCCCACCATCAGTGAACATTAGACTTTACAGACTTTACAATAGGGCATTTACTTTACAGTAGATAGGCATGTACTTTACAGTGGTTAGGCATTTACTTTACAGTGGTTAGGCATTCAATTTAAAGTAGTTAAGTATTTCGTGTACAGTAAATTTAAACAAGGGAGTGTTTGTAGATTACGTGTTTACATGTTTGACAGTTGACAGTATTTATGACCAGTAAAATAAGAGGGAAATTGATGTTCCTTGGTCATTAATTTACGTTGGCCATTTTAGGCCACCTGACATTAAACCTCAAGTGGGAGCGCCGCTGGGTGGGGCAGGCAGCCCCATCATGCCAAGCAGTCATAGTCCTGTTGAACCAGACAAGTTAAGCTCACTCGACTTGGCACGGGCTGTGTCCATAACAGAACACTACCTCACTACAAAGTATGCTCGCCTAGTAGCATATGAATAAGTTAGCCTGAAAAGTGTAGCAGTATGTGGTTTTGAACACAGCCACAGACTGATTTGTTGACTGACATCTGAAAACTGGTTCAGCTGGTCTTACGGCACCACCACCTGTACTTAGATCAACAAAGTTTTAACGTTTGTGTCGCAGAGTCACACTCTACCAAATATGAAGAGTTTCATTCCAAAATGCTGTATATAGATACAATGGAAGAAATTTCTATTTCCCTAGCAATAGTGCTATTAACCTTATTGTAGCATCAATGTTTCTTGTATTCCTAACAGCATGAAAAAAAGAAATCTTTAAAAGTGGTCTATTATGCATTTTGGAACAAAACCCTTCATACATATATTTCAAAAGATTGTTAGTAACTCACAGCAGTGGCAGGATTCATATAATCTATACAGATTTTCATTGCTATACTCCATTTCACCAGTGAGTATAAAACTTTCACCTACCGGACTTCATAGAGGTCCTAATGTCTCACTAAAGTTTGGGTCCAGAAAAGGTATCATTGTTGGTCACGCCCACCAAGATGTCCAGACTGACTGATTTCAGTGGAAGAAGAAAAGCAGCAGGTTCCAAGGTCAGTTTGTCAGGGTTTGTGTTTTACTGAGCTGTTTGTAGTTGAGCACACCAGTAAAGGCAGTAACTGTTTGTACTCTAAATACTGCGCAGCCTCTGTCTCCTCCTACATTAGGATAAGGGTGTCCTTCAAACTGAAATAAACCATTGTTCATCTTACCTGCTCTCTCACACTAAAGAAATTTAGAATGAAGAGTCGAACAAGCTTCCTTTAGTACAGTAATCTGAAATGGCAAAGTCAAGTACAACACATAAATATCATCAAATGACAAAAGCTGGTTATATTTGGCACTGACGACTGTAACTTTCACTTTCTACCAAGGACACATTTATATAGTAAGACAGGTGGTGCTTTTGCCTGTCATGTTTTGCCTGTCAAATGAGGTCTTGACTCTAATGAAAGGCAGTTTCAATTTGAGTAAATGAGTTTTCTTAAATTGAGGGGAAATAGAGGTAGGCAATATGATGAAAATCTAATATCGTGATACTTCAAGAAATGTTCAGACAAATGTTCATCAGCAGGAACAAAGAAGAAAGAACCAGTAAAAATACACTAAAAAATCAATAAAAACCTATGAATACAATAATTTTAATTCAATATTTTGCACTAAATCAAGTTAAACGGGATAAATGTTGCCCTCTTTGTAATGAAGGATGCAGTGGGTCAGTGTTTTAACACCGTAAAAAATACTGCCCATGTTGCCCAGCCCTTAATAATGGTGGTATTTATCATAATGTACCATTGACACTTCTTGTATGTGCAGAAGTCCACATCTAATGAAAAAATGTTTTATGTCTTTTGAAACAAAACCTTTCAATTCAATTTTTACACATTAGAGACTCCACATGCAATATTTGGGCATATTATTATTTTTATTACACCGTCACTGCATGCAGACAGTATAACAGCAGATAAAAACAGTGGTCTCCTGTATCATATTGGCATCCTTTGTAATAAAAAAACTATGAAGGCCTGCCGGTGACATCCCATGTAAATAAAAATAATGCATGGCCAGGCCGCATTAACGCGTAGTAACGAGATCCTAATGCGTGGCGACGATTTATAAGCATAGGAACAAGATAATTAAGTTGTGGCCAAGTCTTTAATTATCTCATACCAATGCCTTACTAAGTCGTGGTCACATACTGGGATCTTGTTCCCACGACTTAGTAAGGCCAAGCCATGCTTTGTTTTTATTTATATGGGATGTCACCAGCAGTGACACTGGTTGCATAATGTCTGTGTGTAGCTGTTTTAACACTCTACATGTACATTTAACACTGTGGGTTTTTCAGAGCCTTATCACTGCTAATCACTCAGCGGTTCACCGCCAACCCTGCAGTTCGTCCTGAGGCTCAGGCACATCAATGCACCGATATTATCTGTGGAATTCGTTTCGCTTTGTCCACTTCCTCACAGAGTCACATTGTGTATCTCTTAAACACACAAGCGCTTACATAATGTGTTTAGCTGTTTTAGGAAGACCTCCCATATGAAATGGGAGTCTAAACAGACTGCTTGCCCAGGGCAAAAAAGTCAAAATTTCATACAAAATTCCTCATAAAATGACTCTTTCCCTACAGCAGTGAGAAAATTAGCTACTCCTAACTAGCCTTGTAGGTTGAAACTAAATTTGCCTAATAATATAACAGACCTGGCTCACAGTTCTTGAACACCTGTGCAAGAGTTTTAATAATGGAAACAGACTGAACAGACAAGTAAACTAAACAGAGAAACAAGCTCATGTGCAGAAACAAAACAAAAAGAGGATGAGATTACGAATAATATGTATGGGGAGGGAAGGCTACTGGAGGCAGACCTGTGATAGAGGCCCAGCACCAATAGAGGACAGTACAAAGGTGCTGGAATGAGGACCAAGGAGATGTCCACAGAGGCTCACTGATGGTCTGCTAGAGTGACAGTGGTCCTTCTTCCATCCAAGACGTTCCCAAAAGTGACCAATGGCCTGTCCTCTCGAACATAAACCTCTTGGTTCAATCACTGGAGGTTGCCCCTTCTCCTGTGAAAGTCCAGGAGGGCCACCACAGCATAGACTCAAGAATCATCAACCATGAAGGCTGCAGGTAGAGTTTCAAGGGGGTCAGCTTCCTGTGATGGAGGGCACCTAGGAGAAGGATCAGAACAGACTTAGAGAAATAATAGACAACAAGAAGAATGTTAAAAGAGTAAACTGGAAATGGATAAGAAACAGGGGCCATCTGACTTGGAGGAAGGCACTGGGCCCCCTTGACTCCAGTTAAGGTGTCTCATCCCCTCCATGCATTCACTTTACCAAAGCCAACTTGATTGCAAGGAAATGATCAATCACGACCAGTATGGTGGTGTGTTACTGTCAGATTCTGGGAAATCAGTGACAAAGTCCTCCAAGAAACCAGGGGCACTGAGGAATGGGCAGTAGCTCTAGAGTAGTGGTCACCAACTCTGCAGAATCCAGCTCCAGCCCAAATCTAATACCCCTGATCCACCTAATTCAGTGGACTGATTTTTTTAATCAAATGTTTTAATCACAGTTGGAAGTGAAGTCCTCAGAAAAATAGCTCTCCAGGAGCAGAGTTGATGTTCTAGGGAGGTGCCAGCAAGTCTTGGCCTGAGGCACCACACTGGGTCACCAGCTGCAGTTTCCTGGATCTCCTTGTCAATATCCCGGATGATGGAAGTAACCAAAAGGTGGGTCACAGACTGAGAGCTGATGAAGAGTCTTTGGTCTTTGGGTCTTTAAACTCTTCACAAAGCATTGGCTTTGGTACTTTTAGAAACACACTGATATGAAATAGTAAACTGGAAACAGGTCAAGAAAAAAGCCTAACTGTCTGCTGAGAATTGAGTCAATGAACCATCTTGATGAACTTGGCAATTAATGTATTCGTTGGTAGACATAACCTATGGATGAAAGGGCTGGATGGAAGCCAGTGCCTTCACCTCTTCAGGGCCAGCTTGACTGTAATGACATCTCCTCTGTACTGAGATGAGCTTCATGGAAAAGAAGGCAGATGGGTGGAGTTTGAAAGTTAATTTTCACATTTATGCCTTTCCTGCAGCCTATTCAGTCTTTATCTGAAACCAGCAAGGGAGTAGATATAGCAAGCTCAACTAATGCTGTAAGAGCTCTAGTGTAAGGGTTTATAGAGCATATATTATTTTCTAGTTGATACAACTTTTAAATTATCCAGAAGAATGTGAAACTAATATTGTTCAGGTTATGAAGTATTAGTTTTTCTAAGGATATTCTAAGGAGCAAGTATTAGGTTTCAACTTCAATCTTCAAAAAGGACAACTAGGACCTTCTATCAGTCAATACTGGCTGGGGTCCTATAGGGAAAATTATCTGAGTAATCTCTACTAAAGAACTGTGACTCTTTCTTCTTAAGCCACTCTAAACAGTAGTTGGAGCTAAATTAAAACAGACAGTGTCCTCTTTAAAACAAAAATACACCTATGCTCCACAAATACATTATTTTCAGTAGTAATCACAAAAATAACACAACACTGGAATAGTTCAAATAGCTGTTAAAAAAATAAAACAGAACTAAAAACAAGCCCAAACATTCTCAAGATGGAAGCATGCAATCTTACAGGTAAAAATGAAGGGCAAAACATCTTCAGTGTCTTACTGTTTGTGAGTTGTAGTGTTCCTTCCTTCCGAATATGTTCTAGAGTGATCAATCAGTAGAACTACAGTGACCACTGCCAGCAGAACAGAGAATGCTAATCGAATCATGGACTCAGTGAGACCACATACCTCAGTGGCACCTGAAAGAGAAAGAGAATGAATGATTTTTTCAATCAGGTTTTGAATGGACCTATGCTTTGCACTAAAACCTCTCTTTTCTTTCTGAGCTACTGTTGAGAGATTGGATAAGCTTTATAGGACATTCCATTCAGCCTGGAGAGAAACTGTAGCACAACACTCCAGAAGTAGAAAAGAGAATAGACAATAGCCTAGCTCATGCACCATGTAGTAACCACTAAGAAGTGACGTACTGAATTGACTGAATGGGTGCTGATATGAACAAACTAGTGCCAATAGTCTTGACAAACGCTGTATGTTGCTTTGATTCCATAACTGTAGCCCTCTCATCAAAGCAGATTTTAAATGGCAAGTTGCATTGATGGTTCTCTTGATAAAACCAATGTTATTTCCAGCTACAGTGAATTTGTTTATTACCAAAGTATATTGAATCTGAAGAGTCATTTACATGCAAAACGCATGGCTGCCAGCGACATGAGTACTTCAGCAGACTGCTAACAAAAGCAATAGCAAAGAGCTACAATTCCACTCAAAACTTGATATAACATAACAGAATGAGACTGTTGTTCTTAAGGAGTGAAAATTAGGCATTGCCTTTGTCTAGTTTTCATGTTCAGCCTGCCTTCACGTTCATGTGAATCAAATGTAACTAAATCATATTACAATACAAAAGTAATAAGTACATTTTGATCAAGCCATGCCCACATGTGTAGCCATAAAAAACATTCTCTTTAGTGTCAAATTTGGGCAAATAAGACAAATGGAATTAATTACCATTAACTACTCAAAAGACTGGGTTTAGTCAAAATGCATTACTTTAATCCACCCAAAGACAATGCTGTTAGTCAGCAATGAAAACATAGTTTTATGTAAAATGCAAAGGAAAATGTAGTTTTTTTTTCCTTCAGATTAAATGGAATTTTGTCTGAGCTAATGGTTTTAACCTGTAGGCCGGGGCCCCCAAGTGGGCCGTGGTAGTACTGCTAGGGACTGTTGGCAGCCATTTTTGTTTATTTTTTTCAAAGCACAAATCTTCATTACACTATAAGGACATTTAACCAAACCAATAATTTAAAACATGACAAATGTTAATGCTGTGACACACACACACACACACACACACACACACACACACACACATATTGTCCTAATCATTCCTCTTGGTCACAGGGAGCTGGAGACTATTACAGCAGTCATTGGGTGGAAGGAACCCCCAGTCTAAGCTGAGCTTACCCAACAAAGCAATAGTTAAAAGAATGCATGCATATACAATGTGTACATTCTGGTGTAATTCTCATACCATTATCATGGGAGCAGATCTCTGTGATGTTGAGTTTGGATGTGCGGTTGCTGACAGGGTTGGCAGTCACACAGTTATAGATGTCCTGATCTTCATCACTCACCTCCAGATGAAGAGTGAGTTTATCACTATGATCAGAATCACTGGTCTGGTTCAGTATCTCTCTCCCTTTAAACCAAGACAGAGTCATTCCTCTCTGACTTTCTGCAGAGCACAGCACTGAACATCTGGATCCAGATGTTGATGCGGAGAATGAAGGACCACGTACTGAGAGTCTTGTAATGTAGGGAGAGGACACCGTAGCTGAAGGACATACAAACTGAGATCAGGTAGAATTGCACATTGTGACTGGACAATTCAAATGAAAAGCATCAGTAGAAACTACTGCAGAAACTATGTCTGTTGAGCATTTCACAAATTAATATTTATATTTCAGTTTTAAAGAAAAAGTAAAAGGACTGAATTTACTTACCGTAGACATTAAGACTAAACATCCATTCGGAGGATCTTCCAGTAATGATCTGTAGTATATAAACTCCAGAATCTTCCCTGCTGATGTTTGTGATGGTTAAAGATCCGCTGGTTCTGTTCAGCTGCAGTCTGTCTCTGAATCTCTCACTGTAATAGTCTGTAATAATCTCTCCATCATTGACCAGACTGTTTACTATCTTTATATCTAAATTCTCTGGGTGATGAAACCACAGGAACTGAGCATCACTCTGAATTCCTTTTAGTCCAGTATGGATGGTTATAGTGTTTCCCTCCAGCTCCTGCAGTCTGACAACCTCTTCTCCAGCTGAGCACAGCAGACCTGAAATGACATGTCCTCATATACATCAAGAATTCTAAATGCTTTTAATATCAAACTATTCTGCCAGAATTATCCTTCTGTTTTCTCAACTGAAGCTTGCCTCACCAGAAAGAAATGGTGCCATCTTACATAATACATAATGCATAATACAGTCTTTCCTCACAAATATATACTTGGACACAAGTAAATATTTAATCAATAAAAATATCCACAAAGGTATATCAAAATTTGACCTGGGTTAAACTTGAACGTTGAGTGTGAGAGTTTAACTTGGACATTTATGAAGCACTGGGTTCTTTACTGATGAATAATGGCAACATAGCTTTATTTATTTCATTATAAAATATATAAACAGTGAAGAGAATTTCGGTAATAATCTCTGCTGGGGCTAAGCATGAATTACATACATGAAGAATACGATCAATAAGAGGAATGTAGAACATCATAGCAATAAAAAGAGGCTCATGGGAGATGTGAACCCTCATTAAGAAAGGGATAGTAGGAGACCTTCGCTGTCATTTGGCATTTGTAAGCAGAAATCATGGCCTCTCCTGACTCTTTTTCTACAGAATGCTATAAACCCAAACAGAAAAATATGCATAGTGTGTTTATATTCCTTCATGGAAAAGATATACTGGCCCCATCAGAGCTGCACTGTCACTTTAGACATTATATATTGTAACTATCTTATAAATGGTGGGTGTAAATTGGCCCTGTTTGTGGAAACAAAGAGCGTATGTGATGTTCTGCAGCCATGTTGGCCATTTCCTTTGTGGTCTGTGGTGAGTGGCTCTACAGAGTCACCAGAGTGGGACTTTCTTCATGTTTTGGCAGAAGTTAAACCCTACAGAATTTCAGTAAATAAAAATTTCAGTGTAATGTTTTTTTTTGTTTTTTTTCCAGCTGGACCTGCAGGACAGTTTGTGCATTTAAGGGTACATTTACATTGTTTATAAATCGGGGGAACTAAAATGTACCCTTTTCTGCGAGTGCAGGAGAGAATAAATGGAAAAATCTGAGTGAAGTGGGTGCACAGAGGAGGACAAACCGCCGCGCTCAGCTAAAAGAGCGAAAAGGGAATTTACCTGCTGGCCAGAACGAGAGAGAAGGGAAGCAAGTAAGCTACCTGCAGTAACGGTAGTGGCCTTGTGGCAACAACAACCCCAGGCAGCGGGATTTAGGGAGAACCATCAGGATTTTGTCTTGGGCTGGCCAGGTCATTGCAGACCCCTGTTGCTTTGTGTAACCAGCATCTGCAGGACTTTCTCTTTTCACTTAGAGTTACAGACAGAGTTTCACTTCTGCCAACACATGATCAAAATGCCCCGCTGGTTACTCTGTAGAGCCACTCACCACAGAGCCCACAAAGGAAATGGCCAGCACAGCAGCAGAACAGATCATATATGCTGTTTGTTCCAACAAACAGGGCCTACTTAAACATAATGGGCCTCATTCACTATTCATTAAGAATTAATTTCTACTTAAAGCCCATTTATGCAGTTTTTACAAAAAATCTGACATTCACCAATGTTTTCTTATCTGGGATTTATTCTTAAGTAAGAACAGAATCTACACACACTCAAGAACACAAAGTTGCGAACAGCTCTGCGGTTTAAGAACACGTCATGAATCTGATATAGGCTTTTTCTTAGGACCTCTGTCAAGAACACATTTGAGAAGAAACTTAGGAGGATACTGGTGAATGAGGCTTAATCTTTTGGAAAGTGTCTTTTTTCATTTGAAGAAGTAAATGTTCTACTCAGGTTTGTTGATTGTCAAATCAATTTTTAAAAACACTTGAACATAATCCACAGTGAGTGGACACTTCTGTAATATTGTTTATTGCTGATTATGTCAGCATCGTTTTCAGGTAATTTTTCAGGCAGAGTAAATAAAGCTGTGTGCTGCAACTATTAATAGCAGCTACATGCATATCAGTGGATAACTCTTCTCAGTGCTTCATAAACGTCTCAATTTGTCTCAATTTAAATCACATTTTGATATCTTAATAATCCTTTTCCTTCTCTTCAGTTCAATTTCTTTACTGAACACTTATTTCTGAATTACTTTATGGGGTTTATTTAACTCTGTTCTGTTGGTTCAACTCCTGGACTACTTTGTTCTTTCTCACATCTCCCGCGTTGGAGCTTTACCATATTGTTTAATGATCAAAAAGAGAAACAGAGGTTCTGCTGCTGTTCTATAGGGAACTGATTTAGAGCTGATACATTTTCAGTCAAGCTGTACAGGACTGGGCTACTTTTATTACTTTTGTACTTGAGTTATTACTAAATTGAAATAAGTCTATGTTTACTTGGCTCTATGTCGCTCTATCACTCTCTGGATATTGAAAAAGATGCTCACCTGTGGTGTAGATGATTAAACAGATGCAAGCTCTGCTACTGGAATCCATTCTTTAAGCATGTTGTGGAGTTTCTGTGCTGTTCAGCTCTCACTGTGCTCTCACTCAGTAGAGGTGAGTTATACTCTACTTCTACTGTCACTGTTTAGAAAGGAAGTGACTGAACTCAGTGTGCTAAGAGCTTATCAGCTTCCGAAACGCACCATCAGGCGGAGCTAAAGCTCTAATTAAGACAAAAAATCATTTTTGGGAGAATTTTCTTAAACACATGACTCCTAACAACCATACAAATCCTGGTGGACAATCAAAACTTTCTACCAAAAATCAAGCTCCCCTCTTCAGATCTGAAAAAACCCACAGGTGTGTCTGTCTGTTTGGGATTGTTTGGATGGTGAGAAGCAGAAAATCCATCAATTTCTAACTTTGGAGGTGGGAAAAATATCACCGCAGATGTCTTTGAAAAACTGAAAGCAAGTCTCCTGAAAAGAATAGAAGCTGTAAACGTTCAAATGGTGGACACTCTAAACACTAAGAAATATGGTGTTGTATTTATTTGTTGAGGCTTCTCTGCAGTTTTGGTTAAACATATTTTCCGCATTTTTGCCAACATTGAAAAATAAACAACTTAATGGTCATTTTCATTGGATATGAAAGAAATGAAAGGGTGGTCTCTGACTTTTGGACACTATTTTACTAGTATCATTGTTATAATTGTACTATTATTGTTACTGTTGTTGTTGTTGCACCAGATAATTAAATTAATTATAAATAAATTATAAACTATTCACAACAAGTGTGCACAAACAGATGTCTGTCAGGTCCATTTACATAACTCACATATTAGCAAAATTAATAAATTCATAAATACTCAGATCCAGTCAGGTTAATTTATTTAATTTATGGCTTTTTTTTCAAATATAACAATACTGCAAATACTCAAAATAAACATGTGTAACATAACTGTGTGGGCTGCTGTTTAAGAATGTTGCCCCTGTTGGTCTTTTAACCCATTCATGTCCAGCGACTAAACATAGGATGATAAAGAACTGGATTACATTGCTATGATTGGTCTAAAGCTCATGTGTTCAGTCTTAGCAGCCACAGCACTGCAGAGTTCAGCCTCATTAAACACATCAGATTCCACTCATCAGCTAATGAGCAAAGCCTTCTTTAGTTGACATTTCAGATATGAAATAATAGGTGAAGAAAGAGAGAACACTGTATTTAATATGTGTACAAACCTTATTACACTCTGTGAGTTTGATTCTGTTCAGTTCTAAGCATCATTAACACTGTGTGGTCTACTTGTGTTCTGCTATCAGAAGAACATTTTGTTAGTGGAGACACTTTCTGTTCAATTTCAAACTGATCCGGATGTGAAGCGATTAATCAGGATGGAGACGGTGGCCAGGAATACCACAGCAGAGAGGACCATTCTGACCACGAACTCAGCTGAGCTATGGTGATGGATACCGGACAAGCCTGGACAAGAAAAAGTGAGTGTGTTTAGAAGAGCAGGAACGTTTACTCATAGCTGCTTCTTTGTGAAAACAAGTGTGTCTAGAATATTCACCATTCAGTTGACAATAAAAAACAGTTTTGACTTACCTGCATTAACATCACAGAGTTCTGTAATGTTGACCTGAGTTGTCTGATTGCTAACTGGATTAGCAGCTACACAGGTGTAAGTAGAGTTGTTTGGGTTGATTATATTCAGAGGAAGATAAAGATGTGCACTGGAATCTGAGCTACTGATGCTGGAGATTCTCTCTTTCTCTTCATACCAGGACAAATTCACATCCTTCCCATTCTCCACGGAGCACAGAGGAGAACACGACACTCTGGGATTTACTGAGCGCTTTTCAGTCTGCTTTCCTATGATTGGCTTCGATACTGGAGCTACAAAATACAAAACAAAACAACAAAACACATAAGAAAATAGCACTGCAGACACTTTGCACAGAAGTATAACCACTAACACTGCCAAAATATAGTAGCGTCTCTGCCACAGAATGCCTGGTGGGAAACAATAAACTGTATGGCAGCAGCTGACTTGCCAATGAAACTACACACAAACCTGATCCAAACACAAACACACTCCATCAGTGAAAATGAATTCAAATACAAATTAACATAACGTGGTGCAGGAGTTAGTGGAAGTGGAAACAGGAATATGAGTGATATAATAACAACATTAGATCTCATAAAACCTTGTTATACACCAACACATATCAGTGTTGGAAACACATTGGTTTCCTGGCATTAGGAATAACACGCCGTGTAATAATGCAGAAAGACTCACTAGTGATGTTCACTGCTTAAAAAAGATGATCTTTCTTCTGGGCACTGGTCAACCACCAATCCATGAATAGATTTATTTTCAATTGATAGCATAGCAAGTGCATAAAAGGGCAGGCAAGGGAAGCAGAAGAGTGTTTTTAGCTACACTCTCAGTTAGCCATGTTTTTCTTTTGAACCTTTCTGGGTGGAAGGAGCAGTTTTTGTCCTTTCGAGACTGAATGATGTTGAAATGATCTGGCTGGTGTGGTCCCAAATGTTTAATCTCTAATTTCTGCTCTAATGGCAGGGTACCAAATGTAACTTTCATTACATTTTCTAATTGACTTGTTATATTGCCTTGTTATTAGGAACAGCTACTATAATTGAGGAACAATGACTAGCTGTGTAGCAACTCCCATACCGTAAACGGCATTCACTAAACATCTGGACATATTTAAATGTATTATTTTTTATTGGCTGCTCACGGCATGGGGCCAATGTGATCGGGCCCCACAGCTGGTTGTTGAAAGCGTGTTGAACATGTGCAGAGTGGTTTTTAACTGCTCACTTGGTTAGACAAACACTGAGGGGCCCCATGCTCACCAAACAAAGACTGCTAGGAGAAATAGGTAGCCAACTGGCATTTACACAACAGGTACAGGAAGATATTTGGAATGTATCAGACAGCCCTATGATTGTCATGGATGATAAACACGCAACAATGTTAATTACGAAGAAAAAATGTATATGTACATATATTAGTTGTTATACTGAATTATTGATCGTGTAATGCACTGCTCCACAGCTACATCATCCCCTAATGTAGAGACGCCAAAATACTGTTAACCACTAACAATACCAGTGTGTTAAGAACTATAACCACTAACAGTATGAAATATACACTGTATTGTAATAATATATATATATATATATATATATATATATATATATATATATATATATAATAATAATAATAATATATTCTGTTGGTCTCCTGTCTGAACCCAGTTCTGCTTATCAATCTGTAGGAAATACTGTTACTAAACAATAATATAATATTTACTCACCATAGACATTAACACTGAAACTCCAGACTGATGTTATATCAGTAATAATGCGTAGTTTATAAACTCCACAATCTTGATGTTTGTGATGGTTAAAGATCCACTGGTTCTGTTCAGCTGCAGTCTGTCTCTGAATCTCTCACTGTCATAGTTTGTATAAGCCTCTTTAAACACCAGACTGATCACCATATTTATATCTACATTCTCAGATTTATAGAACCACAGCATGGAAGCATCACTCGGAATTCCAGTTAGTCCAGTATGGATGGTTACAGTCTTTCCCTCCAGCTCCTGTAGTCTGACAACCTCTTCTCCAGCTGAGCACAGCAGACTTGAAATGTTAAAATTCGTTGTTGATTTAGGTGTGTGAGTACACAAAACTTGTTTTTAAAGTTTAGAGAGCAAAATGATGTAAAGGTTAAAAGAATCATACATCCAAGCCAAGAACCATTTCTAAACTTTTATTTTGAAGAGTTAACAGATCAAGACGTCACTGTGGTTCAGGTTCTGTGTGGCTATTAAACTCAGAAAAGATACATATATACATATATATACATATATATATATATATATATATATATATATATATATATATATATATATATATATATTTCTTTACACATCATCTTAATTACTGACATTGTCCTTCTTTCATTCTTTTCTGATAATGGATTAACCCTTTATACTCTAAAAGGTCCCCCATGAACTGCTCACTCTCAAAATTTAGAAACTAACTCACTGTTTAGTTTCATAGCAGTTCGAATAATTGAATAATTTAAAGCAGTAACTGAATAACAAGCTGTAAGATGACTCTTAGAAGTAAAATGTTATTGTATTTTCCTAAATTATTCATTTTAATGACACAGTTATATGATTTATTACAACATTACGAATTCCATTTACATTCTGTAGAACAGTTTTAACACTTTCTGACTGTTTATTTATTAGATATTGATTAAAGACAAAAATTTAGCTTTTTTTTGGAAACACAAAATAATGGCAACTTCTAATAGTTAATAACTAAATCTCAAGCCTATAGTACCATATGAACCTATAGGATTGATAAAACTGTGTTACTCCACAGCACCACCTACTTTAAAATAGTAGACAGCAAACCCACAACATAAGCATAAAGGTTCCATGACTTGTAGCGATAGCAGAACCCACGGTGATCCTGTACAGAACTACTCTCAAAAAAGTATTGCGTCAGGGGTCACTGGCGCACTGTCATCCAGGAGCTGAGATCTCGGAGAGCCGTACGAAGAAGCTCATGGGAGATACGCGACCCAGTTAAAGGAGGTACTGTTCACATTGGTTTTTGTTGTTAATGTTGCTGTTGTTTAGTTAAGGTATGTGTATGTGTTATTCTGTGTCTTGTTGGTTGTTTGTGTGTTGAGGGGGGTCACCATGAGGTTGAAGCCTGTGGTTGATGGTGACCTTCCCCACAGGTCTATATAATGAGCCTTTATAAAATGGCTGCACTCATAGCAGAATCGTGGCTTTAGGTGAAACTTATTTTGACTGCCATTACAGTAGACAACAGATTCTCCATCATAGTGTTCAGCCTTTTAACGAAGCAAAGAACCATCTATGATTCTATTGGTTCTTTAAGTGCTCACATGTCTATATATAACCACTGCCTTTACTAAAGAATTCTTTTTAAGGGTTTACAGGTACAAAATCTCTTTTCATCTTGGTTAATACTTTAATCAAAACATTAATCATGCATGTTAGATACTCTGAAGTGCTGCTGACCACAGAGCCCACACAGGAAATGGGAAATATTGCGATAGAATCACATTTACGTACTCACAAAAAACATATAATGTGTTAATTTTTTCAAATACACAGTGTCTAAAGAATTCTAACAATGTAGCATTGTCGGGGTCGGTGGATTTAAAAATAAAAAATCAAATCTGAATTTTAGATTTTGGACTATGTTTTGTGTAAAAAAAAGTCATACATAATAATAATAATATACATAATAATTTGAAAATAATTTAATAAACCTACTCTTTTACAAACTAAACAAATCATTCAACAGATCCTAATATCCTCACCCTTTGATCACCATTCAAATGTCATTTGTAAGATATGGTCTAAATGTTCTCTGAGTTTTTCAACACTGATTATGGCATATGGCTAAAAACTCAGTCTTAACAAAACAACAGAAAACTCAAATTTGATTGTGAATAAAAGTATGAAAATGTAACCAAAAGAAATTAAATGTGTTTTTCTTTATTACAGTGAATTCAGGTGTTGGACATAGATGAATTAAGACAACTGTCACCAAAATGATCCACAAGCCAAAAAACCAACAGTGGCAATTTACTTAATTGCAATTTAAGTAACTTCGCTAAGACTGAACTCTCAGATACCCTCAGTATTTCAAAGATATCAGGTCAACCATCATATGAACTTTAAACAAAGACTAAAAAACAATGAACAGCGAAATGCCTTACCAGCAGCGCAGATGAAAAACCAGACAGAAGCCTTCATGATGGATTTCTAACAGCTGCCCACAGAGCGACTTTGAGCTCGTTTACTGTACTGTAGAGGCTTCAGTGTGCAGTGATACAGCAGAGCTGCACTGAAACTTCACTCTGAGAAACACTGAGTAATATAAGCATGAATACAGAGAAAGAACTCCCAGATCAGAAAGGTACAGTCCAGCAGATGGCAGCAGAGTCTGTGCATGTGGTGATGTTTAGAGGGGTACAGGCTTCTGCTACTTGTTAGACACATCAGCTTCACAATCCTAAATCCATCTCTCTTTATTCTGTACTAATGCATATGTAAGTATACAGTTACTAACTTTACCCCATATGTTGCTGCACAGTTTATCAGTTGCCCTCTGCTCCACTCATCATTGGTCAGTTTCTGAGCACAGGACTGCTGTTGTCCGGATATTGTTTGGGTGACTGGCATTCTTAGCACAGTTTTTCCACCTAATCTTGCACCTGTAGCCTAGGGTCAATTACCACAGACAAACAGTTTGAACATTTGGCTCCTAGTGTTTGGCTTCTGTGTGATATGTGCCACTGGGAACATCCAAGGCCTTCAAAGAAACCCCAGTGATTAAAAAATACCTGTCTGGAATTTTTGGTTTTTGTTAATTTTAATAATCATACTTGTTGTGTTTAAACTCTACAAGTGTTGTAGTAATACTCTGATTCCATCGTTAAGCTTTGAAGATTTAGTTGGAGTCAAAAGAGTTAAATTCTTAAACCCCAACTATCCTCCAGTAGATACAGCCAAGCAATCTCTTCCATTGGTTAGGGCTTCAGGAGCTGCACAGAAGGCCTTAAATGTTAGAATAACATAATTACAGTGCCCTCCACAAATATTGGCACACTTGATAAAATATGCTGCAAAACAGGCTGTAAAAAATATTTCTTCTAGCACAATATCAACAAAAATCTAACATTTTTTGAAGTACAATGAATGCAAAAAAACTAAATTTTATCAGGAAATAATTTTTTGTTCAACATTTTTGTCAATTCTGTGTGCCACAATTATTGGCACCCCTTATTTAATACTTTGTGCAGCCTCCCTTTGCAAAGACAACAGTCTTCTCCTAAAACGCTTAATGAGACTGGAGAGCACATGGCAAGAGATCAGAGACCATTTCTTCATACAGGACCTCTCCAGAACTCCAGCACCACACTGTGGTCTCTCCTCTTCAGCTCATACCACAGGTTTTCTATGGGGTGTAGGTCAGGGGACTGGGTGGCTGGGTGGTCAGTGAACCATTTTTGTGGTGATTTTGAGGCTTGCTGTGATTTTGGTGATGCTTTGGATCATTGTCCTGCTGGAAGATCCAAACTATGGCCCTGTTTGAGCTTCCTGGCTGAGACAGTCAGGTTTTGATTTTATTTCTGCTGGTACTTGATGGAGTTCGTGATACCATGTATCTGAATAAATCGCCCAGAGCCTTTGAAAGAAAAACAGCCCCACAACATCACAGATCCACCATCATACTCTGAAGGCAGCTATTAACTGGATCAAGCGTGTTATATAAAGGGTGGAGCTACATTGTGCAGGGTGCCAGATTTACAGGATCAGGATACAGTACCCTTGAAACATGACATGAAACAAGACAGCAGACAGATTCAGTTCATTGAGTTCAACAACTATGGCAATTTAACTCATGTCAAAAACGGTACTGTAGTAAATGTTTTTTGCTGTTTTTCTGACAAATATAATAAATAAATAAATCGTACTTAATGGTCATTTTCACTGGATGTGAAAGAAATGAAAGTTTGATCTCTGACTTTCACAGACTTGTTATTATTATTGTACTATTATTACTGTTGTTGTTGTAGGTAATGAAAATAACTACAAATAAATTAGAAACTATTCACAACAATTGTACATAAACAGGTGTCTGTCAGGTACATGTATGTAACTCACACATTAGCAAAAATCCATAAATCTATAAACACTCAGATCCAGTCATGTTATTATATGTGTAACATTTATTAGTTTTTTTTTAAGTATAACAAAACTGCAAATACAAAATTACTCAAAATAAACGTGTAACATAACGGTATGGGCTGCTGTTTAAGAACATTGCCCCCTGTTGGTCAATAGATATATTTGGCTGCTGATTTCAACCTTTGATGTTCACATTTTATACTCTCATTCATCAAATTTCGTTTGTTCTTTTAACCCAGTCATGTCCAGCAAATAAACTCAGAATCAGAGTTTAGTTGCTAGACATGAATCAGATTTCTTTGCTGTGACTGGTCTAAAGCCAATCAAGGTCAACGTTTGGCTCATCAGGTATAACAGGTGAAGAAAGAGAGAACACTGTATTTATTATCTGTGTACAAACATTATTACACTCTGTGAGTTTGATTCTGTTCAGTTCTAAGCATCATCCAACACTCTCTGGTCTACTTGTGTTCTGTTATAAGAAGAACATCAGCAGTTTGGAGACACTTTCTGTTCAATCTCAAACTGATCCGGATGTGAAGTGAAAAATCAGGATGAAGATGGTGGCCAGGAATGCCACAGCGGAGAGCAGCATTCAGACCACAAACTTAACTGAGCCGTGGTGATGGATACTGGAGAAAGATGGATACAAGAAAAAGTGAGTGTTTAGAAGAGAAAACTCCAGAACGTATGACTGTGTGTATCAATATATTCAGTTTTCTAACTTTGTAAGCTGCACAGATCTCACCTGTGCACAGCAGAAAGATATTTTCACTGGAAAAACATGAAAAAAACCTATGGGAAAATGCACTATATTGTACTTTGTTGGGACAGGGCCAACTTAAAACTAGGAACATTATGACGTGTTTGAAAACCACATCCTAAACAGTTGATACAGTCATGTTTGGGTCACACATGAACTGCTCACCCTCAAAATTTGGAAACTAACTCACCTTTTAGTTCCATAGCAGTTACTGATTAATTTAAAAGAGTTACTGAATAATAAGCTGTAAGATTAACCCTTAGAAGTAAGATGTTATTGTTTCTTCTAAATTATTCATTTTAATTACATAATTATATGATTCATTACAACATAATGAATTCCTTCTGCATTCCATTTACATTCTGTAGAACAGTTTTACACTTTCTGACTTCTTTTATATATTTAATAGATGTTGATTAAGGAAATAAAGGTAGCAAAAATGTAAATTAAGCTTTTTGTTATTTTTGGAAAACAAAGCATGTTCATGCGCAAAAAGTTTTCAGCAAATTCACATCATAATAAATATCTTCTTTGCTATTTAATAACACAAATATGATATTAAAACTTCAGAATCAGCACTTTCAACAGAATTTCTCTGCTGTGAGTGAGCAAGAGTTTATATCAGTCTCAACATGTGCTAGTATAAACACAGTAACAGCAGCTTTTAAGGTTTAATAATTAAATCTTAAGTCTACAGTACAGTATGAGCCTATAGAAAGATAGATATAAAACTGTTACTCTACAGCACTTTACAAGAGTAGACATCAAACTCATAATTAAAAGCATAAAGGTTCTATGATTTGTAACAATAGCAGAACCCACTGTGATGCTGCATAGAACTATTCTCATACAGGTATACAACAGATGCTCCATCATAGAGTTCAACTTATTAACATTTATGATCAAATTGTGTGCTGAGTGTTCACAATTCTATACATAACCACTGCCTTTACTTACAAATTCTTTTTTTAAGGGTGTGCAAGTATAAAATGTCTTTTCACCTTGGGTAATACTTTAACAAAACATTAAACGTGCATGCTAGTAACTCTTAAGGGCTGCTGACCAAAGAGCCCACAAAGGAAATGGGCAGTGCTGCACAGAATCACATTTACATGCTGTTCTCACAAACATGGCCTACTTACCCAAACCACTTAATGCATTAAATACAGCACTTGAACAGTGTGGCATAGGTAAGGTTGGTGGCTTTGAAAAAGAACAGTTAAATATTAATTTTAGATTTGGGACTAACAGTGAGGTCATTTTTAGTCAAGTACTGACTAGTTCTACAACAGCACAAGAAACATTTAGACAATAATTTTATCTTTCATAATTTAAAAAGAATTTAATAAACTTAACTCTTTTATAAACGGAACCATTAACTTAACAGGCCCTAAAGCTCTCATCATTCAAATGTCGTTCATTCACCCAGTAAATCTTATTTACATACTGAATCAGAGACTCTACTCAAGTTTAAATGATCATGTTTCCATGGATTCATTATTTCTTAATGAAAGTAATACAGTTTAACACAATGTCACTGTCTGAAATGTAAGATTTGGTCTAAATGTTCCCTGAGCTGGCCTGAGCACAAATCTACAAAAGGTTTTTTAGACATTTATCAAACCATAAGCTAGAAAACTCAACAATAAAACATCCAAATTTACTTGTGAATAAAAGTGTGAAAATGACACATAAGCAAAAGAATCAAATGTGTTTTTTTTCTCTTTATTATAGTAAATTCAGTTGTTGAACATGAATGGGTTAGGACAACTGTCAATGAAATGATCCACTAGCCAAATAACATCTGGCCAACAGTGGAAATTGCAATGTAAGTAACTTTGCTAAGACTGAAAGTTATGCTAGTTGTCTGGCCCCCCAGACATCGACAGACATTCAAAGACATCGGGTAAACTATCATATGAACTCTAAAGAAAGACATAAAGCTATGAAAAACTGAGCATTTTACCAGCAGCACAGATGAAAAACCAAACAGAAGCCTTCATGATAGAAGTCTAACAGCTACCCAAAGAGCTGCTTTGAGTTCATTTACTATTTTCAGTGCCCATATTTTTATTTTTGGGGTCTACTATAATAGATTTACATGCTTCAGTATTCCAAAAACACATTCTCTCTCATACTGCACATCTGTTTTCATCCTCTGCCTGCTCTGTTAGAGCTCCTGTGTCTTTAAGCCCCGCCTTCTGATGATCACAGTGTTCTGTGACTGGTCAGCTCACCCATTTCTGATGGTCAACCACCAGTGCGGTTGAAAGACATAGACATAAAGCTATGAAAAACTGAGCATTTTACCAGCAGCACAGATGAAAAACCAGACAGAAGCCTTCATGATGGAAGTCTAACAGCTACCCACAGAGCTGCTTTGAGTTCATTTACTGTACTGCAGAGGCCTCAGTGTGCAGCGATCCAGTGGAACTGCACTGAAACTTCACTCTAATGAACACTGAGTAATGTAGGTATGAATAAGAAGGAAGAGCTCCCAGATCAGAATCATACAGTCCAGCAGATGGCAGTATGTAATGTCTGTGCATGTAATGATGTTTGACAGCTAGGTGGGGTATAAGCTTCTATTACTTCAGGTGTGGGGAACTGAGGGCCAGCGTCCAGCAGTGTAATACACTCTTAGTTTTGATACTATTCACTTTTGAACATGGTCTGCTTGTGCTCTGCTACAGAAAAAAGAAAAAAGAAAAAACATCAGCAGTTTGTCAATAGTGAAATTTGCTATTCATCACTATTTTGGATGTGAAGTGATAAAGCAAGATGGAGATGGTGGCCAGGACCACCATAGCAGAGAGCACCAGTCTGACCACAAACTCAGCTGTGTGATGATAATGACCTAGAGAGACAGAGAAAGACAGACAGACAGAGAGAGAGAGAGAGAGAGAGAGAGAGAGAGAGAGAGAGAGACAGAGAGAGGAGAGAGAGAGAGAGAGAGAGAGAGAGAGAGAGAGAGAAGGGTTAGAAGAGAAATCTCCTAAATGCATGACTATACCAATATTCTTTTTTGTAACTTTGCTAGAATTTTGCATGAAATATTCAGTAATAAGCAGGTTTTCTCTGTCCCAAAACATGACCAAAATGTTCACCTTTCTAATAGCAGCAAGATACATAATAGAGTAATAATAGTTATGACCTTACCTGTACTGTTGAGCTGGGTTGTCTGATTGCTAACTGGATTAGCAGCTACACAGGTGTAAGTAGAGTTGTTGGGGTTGGTTACATTCAGAGGAAGATAAAGACGTTCACTGGAATCTGAGCTACTGATGCTGGAGATTCTCTCTTTCTCTTCATACCAGGACAAACTCACATCCTTCCCATTCTCCACAGAGCAGAGCAGGAAATAAAGGTCTCTGCGACTCACTGAGCATTTTTCAAGTTTAATTTTTATGATTGGCTTTGATACTGGAGCTGTGGAAAAAAAAATACATACATAAATACAAGATACAAAAAGAATTTAAAAATAATGTCAACATGCTGATAACCACTAGCAGTAGGAAATGTCAGAACACAGGAGGAGCAAATTAAAATGTGCTTCAGTACAGCCATAATGTGGTTTCTTTTCACCAAACATTAAAGAGGACCGATTATGCTTATTTTCAGTGCCCATATTTTTATTTTTGGGGTCTACTAGAATAGATTTACATGCTTCAGTATTCCAAAAACACATTCTTTTTCTCATACTGCACATCTCTTTTCATCCTCTGCCTGCTCTGTTAGAGCTCCTGTGTCTTTAAGCCCAGCCTTCTGATGATCACAGTGTGCTGTGACTGGTCAGCTCACCCATTTCTGATGGTCAACCACCAGTGCAGTTGAAAGGGGGTACTGGCATCCTGTTACAAGCTCTGCCCCTACAGGCAGGCAATAAGGATTGTGTTACAAGATGACATCACCTTGTAACAAAGGAAAAGGGCTGGAATTCCGACGAGGTGTTTCAGGCAGCTCTGTGGAAGAGAGTTACTCCCTCTGGCATGTACTTTGGGCTTTGTGACTTTGCAGACCATTTACATGCCCCAAAACTACATAACACATTGAAGGAAAGGGAGAAACGGGAAAAGCATAATATGTCCCTTATTATCCCTTTAAGGATAATAAATATATTTTTGTTATAGTGCCAAACACTGTGTTGATGTACATATAGACCCTTTACTTTGAAAAAGGTTTCTGTTCATTGGTCACTACAATTGATGCAAATAATACAGTCAATAATGTTGGTCTAAAGACTATTCATTTACGTTCTACCTCATTCTACAGGAAATACAGAAACTATAAAGATAAAATGCAACATATACTCACCATAGACATTAACACTGAAACTCCAGGCTGAGACACTTTCACAACTGATTTGTAACATATAAACTCCAGAATCTTCTCTGTTGATGTTTGTGATGGTTAAAGATCCACTGTTTCTGTCCAGCTGCAGTCTGTCTCTGAATCTCTCACTGTAAGAGTCTGTAATAATCTCCCCTCTAATGACCAGACTATCCACTCTCCTGAGGTCTACATTCTCAGATTCATACAACCACATTATCTGGTCACTCTGAACTCCTGTTATTCCAGTATGGAGGGTTACAGTGTTTCCCTCCAGCTCCTGCAGTCTGACAACCTCTTCTCCAGCTGAGCACAGCAGAGCTGAAATGACATTAAATAGTTCAGTCCAACCCGTCAGATGAAATGCACTAAAGACATTCCATCATATCTCATCATTCATTTACACTCTCTAAAAAATAAAGGTCCTTTTTCAGAGTGATGCAACAGAAGAACCACTTTTGCTTCCCTGAAGTAACTTTCCATGGCTGATTCTTCATAAAACTTCATGTAAATGAGATGTGAATAACCTTTTTAAAGTTTAAAGACTAATTAACATGTTCTATACATATTAAAGGACTTTTCTGGAACTTTTCCTAGAACCATCTTTTTATGGCAATGTGAATAATGGCACGATTTACAGTGGAGGACTAAATAAGTAGACTTAAATTGGTACTATTTTTATGCCAGAGTTTTTTTATACTCTTTTTTGTGGAACCACATCATCCAAAATTACTTACATCTTATTTTTATAAAACAATAATAATACTAATAATTAGAAGAAGAAGATAAAGGAGAAAAAGAAGTTACATTTATATAGTGCCTTTCACAATCCCAATGTTGCTTTACCTAGAAAAAAAGCAGATGAAGCAGTAAAGGAGGAAATCTTCATGAAAAAAAAAAAAGTCTTTGAATCAGATTTCCAAGTAGAAAAAGATGAGCAGTCACAGAGAAATTGAGGAGGAGAGTTCCAGAGTTTGGCAGCCATGGCATTGAAGGACCTACCTCCCAAGGTGAAAGTGACAGAGGTAGTGAAAGAGTTAGATGGGAGGTTGTGCAGGGCTCTGATGGTGAGAAGCAAGATTTTGAACTGTATATGGGACAGGACCGGTAGCCAGTGTAACTGAGAGTGGATGGCGGTGATGTGAGCTGAACACTCAGTGTGGGTGAAAGCTCCAGCTGCAGAGTTCTTAATATATTGTAGCTTTTGTATAGACTTTACAGGGGGACCAATGAAGAGGGACTTATAGTAACCAATATTAGACATAATGAAGGCATGAACCAAAGTTTGTGCATCGTTATCAGTCAGGAATGGGCAAAAATGAGCATTGTTACGTATATGAAAGTAGCAGTCTTAGTGAGGGACTTGATATGTAGATCAAAATTAAAGGAAAGGTCAAATAAAACACTAAGGTTTCTGGCAACAGTTGCAGGCTTAACAATACAAACAGAGAAATTGGATGATTTGGGTGGTTAAGATTTAGGGCCGACCAGCAAAGCTTCAGTTTTGTTGGTGTGTAATATGAGGAACTATTGTGCATCCAAAGCTTTAAATTGGAAACAGAACAGAAGGAGGGGAATCTGAGAGGAAGTATGTACTGAGATATAACTAATATCATCTGCATAGCAGTGAAAGTTAAGACCATGTCTACTAATAATCTGGCCAAGAGTAGATTAGGAAAAAAAGGGGTCCAAGAACTGAACCCTGAGGAACACCATGTGACTGTTGTCTGTTTCTAAGATATGACCAGAACCATTGTAAGGCTATATCAGTGATACCAACAGAGGAAAGCTGAGAAATCAGAACATCAAGATTAATAGTGTCAAATGCTGCACTTAATATTCAGACAACCACTATCAGGAGACCAGAGAAGATCATTAAACACACACAAGAGGGCTGTATCAGTGTGTTGTGTGTATCAGAGTGCTGTGGTGTGTACGGACACCAGACTCAAACTTTTCACTGAGCAACCACTCTTACGGTTGTTTTAGCAAAAAAATTGACGGTTTGAGATGGATATATAAATGGACAGAGAAGCTATATGTGGCTAATGTACAATAGCAAGTATGTATACAGCAGTACGATACTCACCAGAAATGTCTTCTGAAAAAAAAACTTAATTTTTTAATATTACGTTTTTAATAATTAGTAAGTATGTAATAATCATTTGACTGGAAATTACATAAAGAAAAGGGTGGGCCCTTACTTTTGCACAGTATTGTTTATACTTTCTCACATTTGTTTACTGAACCAAGACAATAATCACAGTTTAGGTACATTGGAATTAATTTTTTTTATAAAAGAATGACATTTCTGGTGTACATGCCAAACATCAGATAAGATTTTAAAACACATCAAGAAAGCCATCAAATATATGACCCTTTTGCAAAATGTGGAATGTTTCCAGCATCTTACCTACAGCACAGATCAAAATCCAGACCCTCATGCTGGTGGTCTAATATGAGTCCAGTGTATGTACTGTAACCCTCTTGGTCTACTAATGCAGTAGATCTGCACTGAAGCTTCACTTTGAAGAACCGTATTGAGTAATATAGGCGTGAATGTAGGCCTTTGGTTCAGAGGCACACAGTCCAGCAGAGGACAACAGAGACTTAATGATGCAACATGTGGTTCCGTTTCTGGTCATGAAAGACTTTAATAAAAAAAAGACATGACCTTTCCACAATTTCCTTTTAGTTTAGCAGATGACAACAGAGACTTAATTGCACAACTTGTGGTTACAACAAAACATCAACAGTCAAATGATTTAAGACGTCACGTTAATTCACTTTAATTGAATTGTATTTATGTGATTGTTTTTTAACAGTAGATCGTTTCCCAGAACAGTTTTCCAGAAATCCATGACCGGGATCTAGACCCCTACTGAACGAGAGGAGGGCAACTGGGATGGGAACTTACAAAACAGGAACAAGAACCAAAACTTAACACTCACCATCCTCTGTTCAACACTGAAAAGCAGAATAAAATGAAAAAAAATGTGAGTTTAAGTGAGACTAACAGAGCTGCTCGGATTAGATGAAAGAGAGATCCAATGTAACCAGCCAATGTGTCTATCAAACACTGTCAGAATACAGAGCTGAAGGGCTAAGAACTGTGTAAAGCATATCTCCAAAAAGGTAATTTAACAGGACAAGGCAAAATGTTCTTAGTTTTTAGAAATATTTTCTTCCAAGTAATTTTGGACCATTTCTGTTAGTCCATTCATCATGACATTTTGACACAATCTAAAGGGCAACTGCTTTTTTCAAATGATTTCAAAAATGAAAAATGACAAATATGGAGATGCAAGGTTTTGTTCTGACAGTGCACACAAACCTTTGACAATTTCATTCATTTAACTCACATACTAACAAAAAGCTATGAACTATAAATACTCTGATCAGCTCAGTTTTTTTCTATATATATTTACATACAATTCCGTAAATTTATAACCGCTATTTAAGATCTTTGCCGGCTTTACCTAATAAATGACATATACAGCTACCGATAGATACTCAGGCTGGGATTAACTTAGGTTTAGATAATTAGACTGTGATTAAGCCTAATGCACATGCACATGATGAACAGCCAATTGTGTGAATCATTAGAAGTTGTCGACAGCGAACAATCATAATAAAATCATAATCACATAAAAGCGAAGAAAGCAAAAAATTTATAATAGTAAAAAAGCACAAGCATCCAATCATCAGCAAAACATAAATTAGCCAGTTATAACTGTATATGATTTAGACAGCTTGTGGTAATCACTGTTATAAATTAGCCTTTAATTTTACCAGTACCTTAGCTAGCAAGATTGGTGGCCCCCAAGTGAATCCTGTTTTACAACAAAAATGCTAGAGCCAGCCCTGCCCCTAGTGGTCAACACATGCCTTTGTGAGCGGACTGCCTCTTTTGTATATTAAGTGCTAGTTTGCATTTAACCATGATCATCAAAACAATTGGGCAAAGTGGACATTTGAATCAGTACTTTCATAGTAAACGTACTTTTTGATGCTTCGATTGGAAAAAAAAACTGGCCTATAGGCACGAGGGACTGTGATATATTAATATGGTACCATGTCAGGTGGCAGGGGACACAAGATGTCCGTTTCATTATTGGTCTAATTGACCTTGAGCACTGGGAATGCTGTCTGATTGTAAACCACTTTACACTTTGCTTTGTTTTCCACTTTGTGCAAAATAAAATACAATATACTAAATGCATGTGTTGTTGAAGGATACTTTGGCCCAATCCCATTTCACCCCTTGCCCCTACCACTTAGCCGTTAGCCCTCTGTTTTGCATGTCTAGGGTTAGGGTGTCCCAATTTTTTGTTGAGATAGAGGGGTAGGGCAAGGTGTTAGGGCTACATGGCCCTCCTAACGGTGGGTTTTCAGAGGCACACTCCAAACGGTGTGTAATGAGAAAAAAAGAAAAACCGGCAAGTTGGCTGCGCAAGCGACCAAAGAAACCCACAAATGTGAGAATTTTCTCTGTTAAAAAATTATGATAACCATTGTATTATCTTAGTTTAAGGTTGTTTTAATGTATTATGCTTGCTTTCTTCGTAACAAACATAAAAAAAATCACTTAAAGTATGCTAATGTCTCGGTATCTAGCTAGCTAATTTTCCCATTCCACCTTAAATAGTCCAGCAGTATTGACGTCTGAAGCTCCAGAACGTAACTGCTGCAACATTTAAGGTGGAACGGGAAAATTCGAACAAGAATAGCTGACTTCAGCTTTGTATCACCAATGAATTAGTGGTGGGCGATAATAAATAATTGTCTTATATCCCCTCTTTGAAAGCATATGTTTCCCAAAACGTAACTAAAGCCCAGCAGTGAGGTTGCTGAACTTTTCCCTTCTCTGCTATCACTGAAGTCAGGCCAAGTCGTCTACAGAGCAGCACTAGTAGCCTGTTAAATGAAGCAATGTTTTTTTGGTTTTTTTTGAGGGTTGTCCCATTTTGTAGGGCAAGATTTCAACCACTACCCTAACTCCGTTCCAAGGGGTAGGGCGACACTCAGAAACAAGGGGTAGGGATAAAAAGAACAAATGGGATTTGGGCCTTTGACCCCTGCATTCAACAGGAAACACAGAACACTGCATTGATTATCTGTGTACAAGCAGAATTAAACTCTGTTTTCCAAATGTGTCTCTTTTCAATTCTATACTGCAAAAAACTAAATGTTCTCATATTAAGGCAATAAATCTCATGAGATTACTTGTCTTTACTTTAAGTAAAGCACTGAGAGTAAGATTACATTGTTTATTTGAAGTAACCTCCTCTGTCTTTTGTAGCTTTTGTAGTTCTGAATTTAAAGGGTTAAGCTGGTCATAATTTCACTTTTTTCAGAATTCTCAGAGGGCACTTTTAACACAGTCATTGTGGTGAAAAGCATTAAACTATTCTTAAACTGATTTTATGTGTGGTAAGCAGCACAGCTTATTATGTAGTGTAAGTTTTGGGTTTTTGAGATTTTGAGTACAGTTTTACCAAGAGACTTGAATATTGAGAAATATACTTACACTGAGTCCTTGTATCTTTTTACTGTGGCTGGAGACAGAACCTTATGCTTACATCATATTTAAAATGCTGCATTTATACATTTTCTAGTTTTAAAACATTAGGAGTGAAGGGAAAAAAACACATATTGTTGCATCTTTAAAATGATCTTATTAAGTAAGCTTTATCATGTTGGCAGATTTTTAACTTGATATTGTAAAATGTATTTACATCACATTTCATGTCTTCTTGTTGTAACAATCCAGTCCATAACCAGGTTTAAGAATCAGGGGCCCATTTATAATGTACAAGGCAGAGTCATACTCATTTTCAGACAAATTACATCAGGTCAAATAAACAGTCCAAACCAGGATCTAGTTCTCACATTTTACAAATGAAATGCACAAAGTCAAAATCAAGAAAGATACACAGGAAAAACAAGGATCAGAACTGCTCTTCCCCCAGCAAGACCTCACACTGAGCACATGCAGATTTCTGTCTTAAATACTCTCTAAAATGGTGTTTGATTAGGTGCAGGTGGAAACCAGAGGCTCAGCACTGTGTTGAGAGAGACCTCTGCAGGTGTGAGGGGAAACTTCACACTTGTGTTCTGCAGTAAGAAGAACATCAGCAGTTTGCTAGTGGTGACACTTTCTATCCAGTCATTCATCTCAAATTGTACTGGGTGTGAAGTGACAAAGCAGGATGGGGACAGTGGCCAGGACCACCACGGCAGAGAGCAACTATCTGTCAAAGTTTGGCTAATTACACTTCGTTAAGTTGTATAAGGAGTGCTGATGCTGGATTTTAGCAAATCTCTGTGATGGTTGGGGCATGCAGGAGAAATCTGGAGCCAAACAATATTTTTCAAACTAGCTCAGTTTTTTTTTATTTATTTGCACTATTTAATTATTTAATTTCTTTCTGTTATGATTATTTGCCAAACAAAAATTGGATTGCCTTAGAAAAATTGTAGAAATGAAACTACCAGTTTATGGACACAGCTGTGTGATGTTGAGTTGAGTGACTGCTGGCTGGGTTGGTGATTCTACTGCTTCTACTGTCTTTACTTCATCCTTTACAGCTGCTCTCACATCTGCAGAATAGACATCTGGGAAGTGGATAAATGTTGTGTAAGTATTCAAACAGCTTGAACACAGTGCAAGTTCCCCTAGTTTGTGTGTGTGTGCACGCAAGTGCATGAACCACAGACACCCACACAGGAAATGGCCATTGTAACAGCAATACTTTGTCCTAATTACGTACTCCAGCATATCTTATTGTAAAGTATATCTGCACAGGGAAGGAGAGATTCCATATATATATCACATTCATTTTTATGAAAGTAGTGCATATTTTGGTGTTATGGGGATTTTTAATTATTTTGAACATAGTTGCAGGGTTTGCGCATTTATTTGGCATATAAGGGCTATTAGTTAATTCATTTTTGCATTGGCAGGGACTGTTCAGGGGCCCTAGCAGTCAGAGCCCCAGTGGCTGGTAATGCTTCCCTGCCTTCTGCTAAAGCTTCTGAGGATCATCTCTGTAGCGCGTTCCAAATTATTATGCAAATGATATTTTTCTCTGATTTTCCTAAATGGTCGATGCAAATGACAGTCACTATAATTTTAAAGTCATCAACCGTTAGAGTATAAATTGAATTTTATTGAACAAACCTCCCAATGATAACAGCATTTTTCAAAAATAAAAAAAAACTCAAAATGCACTGTTCCAAATTATTATGCACAACAGTTTCAAAACATTTTATAGGTTGTAAAGAACTGAAAATGGTAATTTGTTGAATTTGCAGCATTAAGAGGTTACATTCACTGAAATCAAAAGCTATTTCAATCAAAAACATCGTAACAGGCCAAGTTACATGTTAACATAGGACCCCTTCTTATGATACTGCCTCCCACCCTCATAGATAGCCGAGGTCATTTTCACACCTTCAGGGACCCTAAAGGGGCCTACCAGC